GCTATGTTAGCGGATATAGGGTCAGGCTGGAAAAAAGCTAGCGGCGGTCAAACAAAAACTTGGCATCAGTCAATGAAATCCACAACAGTTGGTCTAAGCCACGTAGGAAGGTGTAGACTTCCAGGCTGGGGTCCTCGGGACGGTAAAAATCTATGGTTGGAAACAATTGGTGACATGGCTCAAAATCGTTCTCAGTGGCGCAGATGCATCCACTCCCTGTGACTTATGATCTCCAATGAAACTGTTTTGTATTTCTTTATTACTCCTTTGTCTCACACCTCTGCTCACTGTTTCTATTATGCTTTTCTTGTACTTTCTTCTCTTGCTTCGCGTGCTACACGGAATGTGGCGACTTGAACTTCCGCACATTTGTGCAAAGTTCTATGTCGAAAACAGACATATAGAATAAATACTTGTCCTACTTTTCTAGCTTACATCTTCACACTCCTTGCTGATTCATTGATCGGTTTTCTTTCTTTCTTTGTCATCGTATCATCAGTTTTTAACTGCTTTCGTAGTTGTCTCCATAATTTTCTGAGAACTTTGTAAATTCAACTGCTTTCGGACTGTTACATAATGGTTAGAAACATGTTAAGAAAAGTCTGTAAAATTGTCTGACAATTTATGGAATAGTAATGAAAGCCACTCTCTTTTGAAAAAGACTCCATAATCTTCACGTGCACTCTTCAACCAACATCGATATACACTTGATAGATTGTATAAGAATAGAACTTGTGAGATGTGGTAGAGTATAATTCCATTATGCATAAAATTTATTTTGATAAAGTCTTACAGTGTTGTACAGTAATACTTACTGGTGACGTTTCGAGCACAATTTATTGCTCATAATCATATCAAGGTGCTCAAACAACTTTCTAATAACCGAATTATATGAGCGAAGTTAGAAAGTTGTGTGAGTGCCTTGATATGATTATGAGCAATAAATTATGCTCGAAACGTGGTCATCAGTTAATATTACTGCATAACACAGTGAGACTTTATCAAAATAAATTTTACCCATAATGGATGGATTGTAGTTGCAGATAGAGTGGTAAATTGTGTCCCTGAACCCATGCAACCAGGTATCCTGATAAAGGATGGTCGCGTCTTTCCATTAAGCATATTAGCGACAGACATTTGTCCTTTTTGACTACAGGGATAGAATTTATTGTAAAATGCTGAATTTTGGTTGTCTAAAAATAATTATCTCTCTAAGATAACAACTAATGTAAGCAGAATTAAAACACGGAATGGCCATTCCTTCTGGATGACTGGAAAGTTCTCAGTGAACATTAGTGGTTACGTATATATTAGATTGCAATGTTTTCAAAACATCTAACTGCAGTTAAAACTTTAAATGACTGTGACGGTTACCTTTAGAGATCTGGAACGGCAAATCGGTATGTTGACCTAACCTGGTGGAATGTAAGCATCCATTCGGGGTTCATACTCAATGGAATCATTTAGGATATTTAGTAGGATGTCATTGTTTTAGTTTCAAAGTGCTGGAAACAGAGACAATTTGTAAGCACACTGTTACGCTCCTCAGATTGAAGGCATCATAAGGTTAGCTGTAAGAGAAATGGTAACAAGCATCCTTACCAAAAGTTAAAGTATACTATGCATTTTCATCATTACTTTGAGAAATAATTAATATAGATACCAATTTTAATCATATCCTCCACTACAAATCATCAATTTCTCAAACTGAAGGGGTTTCTCAGTTGGTAAACGTAGTTAAAGTGAGCTGTTGCGCAACACATACTTTAAAAGGTATTCGGTAGCTTCGGTTATATATAAGTGCAGGAAACATGTACTTTTAGAATAGCTGAATTTTAGCCTTTTACAGGTAACTTTAAAGAAGGTGAATACCACAAATGAAAGACTTCACCAACCTATACTGCCACCGCCTTTTATCAACCAAACTGGATAAAGTTAAGCTACGTGTTTCAGGAGAACGCGCTTAGAATGTTCGGTGTGACTTACTGACTAACTGCTTTCAACATAGAACTTTGCACAGATGTGCAGTAGTTGGAGTTGCCACTTTATGCACCACATAAAAAGAGAGATCAGAATAAAGACAGATTCAAAAGAGAGATATAATAAATCACAAAGATTGAATGCATATGCGCCAGCCATTGACAACAATTTTGAGTCATACCACCAATTGTCTCCGGCTTTCATTGGTTATCACCCCCCCGCGCGAGGACCCCAGGAAGTCTACACTTTCCTACATCTCTGGGTGGCTGGCTTAAACTAACTATTGTGGATTTGATTGACTGATGAAACCATGTTTTGGTCTGACCACTACTAGCTCTTCTCCAACCTGACCCTATGTCATTCAGCCAACATTGCCCGTCGAGTGAGGCGAGATAAACAAACAGGAAGATGTTTGCAACTGAGCAAGCTTTTGAATTAGACTTTATAAACCCGCTGGTCTCTGTGTACATCAGGAAATGGTGGTCGCTCTGAATCTACCATGGTAGTATGTTTCACTTATTAACTGCTATTATTACTATTAACATTTTATTCTACCTCTTATTATTACTATTTCTGATTCATTTAAAACTATATTTAATCATTACCATTATCTTGACTGGTTCAAACATTACTACTATTATCAGTATTGTTTTCGATAACCTCATCATCAGGTCCTACAGTTATACATACACAATAGTGAATGAATGAATTAGCGTTATTAACAACATTAATGTTCCGTTGCCCTAGGAACTTGAGTTTTCGTGCTCGAGAACATCTACTAGTGTGGCTGAGTAGGGGTTGTAGTAAAAATCATCAGCAGTTCGATATTACACCACCTGGTTCAAACTGGCCACAAAGCGTCGGTGGCACAGTGGTTAGGACTCTCGCTGACCATGCATATGGTCTGAGGTTTGATCCCCTGCCGACGCACACCTGATATCTATGATCAGCCTGCAAAATATGGGCTACCGATATCCATGCTGAAAATTCCATACTTGTACCAAAAATACAGTGTGGAATCAAGCTGTAAATAAAAAAAGCCAGCCAGCATTGAAGAATCCTTCTCTACCATCTACCGGTGTCCAAATAAACTACCAAAAACATCGAGGTACTGCATGTTGCAAACAGCAGAAGCTATCGCGATTCGCGTGAAATAACCAGTGCTTTGTTTGCAAAAGAAGCAAGTCCAACCAGCCACTACTATTGTCCAGACTGGCTTTTAGTAGAGACTATAAATTCATGAATTCTGTATTATTATTTTCCTAATTTGTGTGATATACAATGTATTGTTATGTTGATGCTGTGGAGCTGTAATCCATTGTTATTATTATTATTGATTCGATCTTATTTGAACAGCAGTAATGCTTTTAATAACACTAATTCATTCACTATTATGTATATATGGCTTTAAAACCGGATAATGAAGTTATCGAAAGGAATATTCTTTGTTCAGTAACCATTCTTTCGAAAAATTTTAATGGGGAGTGTTAGCGTTATTATTATTATTACTATTATTTACTTTGAAATTTTTGGTATCTTATCAGTCTTTTATTTCCTAACGTAATTCTAATGATGCATACACATATATCCCTGTATGTAGAGTAGTCAGATGAAGAGTTCTACTGAAATCTAATGAATTCGTCATATCATGATTTATTTAACTTTGTTGCTTGTATTAAACTTCTATAGGGAAATAAAATGTCCCCAACTTTGTACTTGCTTCTTATACCACTAATACCCAATCTTACTTACCACCATGACAGGGAATAACCTTGAAGAAAATTAGTGCTAATTAAAATCGTTTCGTAAATACAATGCAATCGACACACTTGACCATTACGTTGAAGGCAACAGTTGTCAGTCAGTGATACATGTTGCGCATGCCTAGCCATTGTCTTCCTCGTCCAATAATAATAACTGACATAGGATTAGGATAGGGAAAGGGCTACAGGTGGTCGAACGGAAACATGGCGTCAATGCATGAAGTGTTTGACAGTCGGTTTGAGTCACACATGACATTGTACACTGCCTAGATGGAGTTCCAGGGTTGTTAAGAACCAGTAGTTTGAGACTGTTGGGGATATATGTGGCTCGAAATAGTACTCAGTGGTACAGATGTATTCACTATGTAATCTCCCAGGTTCATCAAACTTTCATGTTTTTCAATGTTATTAATCTTACTCATTATAGTCCTTGTGAATTTGTTTTCTTTTCACTACGTTTGATCTGCTTCACTTCTATGTACAAATTTGTATATTGGAACAGAATCAATCAATGAATCTAAATGTTTATTGATCAAAGGTGCCTGCGTTCTATCTACTGTGTGAAGTTGATGTTAAGCGTCGAGTGCTAGGTAGGTTGGAGGGGAAATCAATTGATGAGGTTGTGAAGTTACACCGATTAAGATGGTGGGGACATGTGTTGCGCATGCAACCCTAGCCATCGCCTTCCTCGACAGACGGGCAATGTTAGCTGACATAGGGTCAGGCTGGAAAAGAGCTAGTAGCGGTCAAACTAAAACATAGCCTCACCAGTCAATGAAATCCACAACAGTTAGTTTAAGCCAGCTAGCCATGTAGGAAGGTTTAGACTTCCTGACTGGTTGTGGTCCTCGGGATGGTAAAAACCAATGGTTGGAAATAATCGGTGACATGGCTCAAACTCATTGTTTTCAATGGCTGGCGCAGATGCATCCACTCCTTGTTACTTATAATATCCATGGAGACTATATTGATCTTCGATATTACTATTCTTTTTGTCTCGTATCTCTGTTTACTGTCTTTAATTTGCATTTCCTTTTACTTTCTTCTCTGGCTTTGTGCACTACATGGAGGGAGTGTGGCGACTCGAACTGCTGCACATAGGTGCAAAGTTCTATGTTGAAACCAGTCAGTCAGTCAATATATTGATTTATATCTTTTGTCAACTTTATCCACTTTCAACATTTATCCATAGCACGTACAATAAATTTTATTTCTATTCTGTTTCACTCTCTATTTACAGGTCACACATGATCAATCATGTCAGACTTAGCAATATGCCGATTTGCTTATGATGGAGTAGTAACATCAGTTGTCAAACTGTTAGAATCCGAAGCCAATAAATCACACGTTGATCAGGTTCTACTACTATTTGGCGACTTATATATCTCTCTCTGTATGCATTATAGGCTGGAAGAAATCCTCTTCACTGGGCAGCGTGTGGCGGTCACTTGGAATTGGTGAAAGTTCTTCTATCCAGAGGATTTGATAAAGACTGCAGAGATCATGTAAGAGATATATGTTGTTTGTGTAGATGTATCTTTTATTATATTCATTGTGATTAATATGAGATGATATAGTCCTTCTAGACGAGGACGCTGACAAAACTAAGCAGAGTCTTCCGAACACCTTGAGCTGCACTCTACGAATGTTTGACATGCCATTTACTCCCGCCAAATGTAAGATGATGTTACAGGACTGGACTGGACTACACTGACTCCTAGGTTAGAAATAGGGAGTAAAGTTCTTGGTAGAGCACGTTGACCGCTTCACTTATTTAGGTGAGGAGTTGCATCAGCACTTGCTAACGGGTCGATCTCTGACGAAGTCTCATTACGGATACAGAGGGCTGTTTTCGCATATGTCAGTTTACGCCATCTCTGGCTTAGTAGACGTGATATCCGACTATCGACCAAAGAGCGGGTGTACTGCTCATCAGTCCGCTCCGTCCTCCTTTATGGCTGTGAGACCTGGCCATTGAGAATAGAAGACATGAAAAGATTAGCTGTCTTTGATCATAGGTGCCTGCGTTCTATTTCCCGTGTGAAGTGGTATAATAAGGTGAGCAATACTGAGGTTAGGCATCGGTAGAGTGACAGCTAGGTAGAGGGGAGGGGAAATCAGTCGACGAGGCTATGAAATTACATCGACTGAGATGGTTAGGACATGTATTACGTATGCCTAGTCATCGCCTTCCTCGGCAGACGGGCAATGTTAGCTGACATAGGGTCAGGCTGGAAAAGAGCTAGCGGCGGTCAAACCAAAACATGGGACCAGTCAATAAAATCTGCAACAGTTGGTCTATGCCACGTAGGAAGGTGTAGACTTCCAAACTCGTTGGGGAACGGGACGGTAAAAACCAATGGTTGGAAATAATTGGTGGCATGGCTCAAACTCATCGTTCTCGATGATGGCACAGATGCATCCACTCCTTGTGACCTATGATTTCCAATGAAACTATATTGTTCTTCGTCATTACTCCTCCTTTGTCTCACACCTCTGTTCACTGTCTCTATTATGCATTTTTTCTACTTTCTTCTCTTTCTTTGTGTGCTACATGGAGTGTGATGACTTGAACTGCCGCACATATGTACAAAGTTCTATGTCGAAAACAGACAGACAGATTCATTGTGATTAGTTTTGAAACATTTAAGTATTATCAATGTACCATAAACAACCTCGTATGTCTGAGGGATGGTGGAGTAGACTTTGACCTTCCATTCGAAATTTTCTCACGTGGCCATATCTTCATAGCTCTCGCTAAGTAGATCCTATTCACTGGCTTCACGAGGTGGCGGAAAGGTTGATCACAATAGTGAAAGGGACGATATGAACATCTGGCACTTATAACTGGACTGTTGGGCATGAAAGCCTATCTAGGGGAGCTGGAGAACTCTAATTCTAGACCTATGATGCATATCGCCCCCAGAATTCGAAAAGCCTGTTTCGGTCACAGAAAACTATGGAGACGCAGATCGCAACTGCCTTATAGATCAGAATTCAGTTCATGAATAATCCCCATCCAGACGTTAATCAAAACAAGACATGTAGTTCAGTGAAGAGGCTCTTTTCGGCGTATTCATGTTCTGATGATATTAGATAGTTGGAGGCAATCAGTGGGCAGGAAGCCTTGACTAGACCTAGGTTTCCAGCTAGTTGGCACTCACTGGTCAGCAAGGCGTATCTGCAACCTTGAAGGAACTCGTGTCCATTCTGAGCAGATTCGAACCCGCGTCACCTAGTGAGTGCTGCAATCGGAGAGGTTATCACTCAGCTATTCGGGCTCGCGATTGACCTCCAGTAGGACCGTATTGTATGCTTTGATTGGACACTAGTAGCTAGTGTGACGTGTCTAGTCCTTTTTTGGTGCAGACTAAACTCCATCAATCAGGTTTGCAATGTGACCACCATTTGAGGTGGCTTGCCATCACGGTGCATATGGAATTGATGATATTAGATAGTTGGAGGCAATCTCTGACTGCAACACTGGGTGAATCTCCTCAGAAGGGACATGAGTCCCTTCAAGGTTGCAGATACGCCTTACTGATCGGTGAGTGCCAACTAGCACGAAACCTAGGCCTAGTTAAGGCTTCCTGAGGCCGATTGCCTCCAACTATCTAATATAATCAAATCAAAGTGCACTGTGATGGCGAGCTACCTAGAATGGTGAACACATTGCAAACCTGACTGATTGATAGAATTCAGTCTGCACCAAAGAAAGGAGTAGACAAGTCACACTAGTTACTAGTGTACAATCAAAATATTCTTGTTCTGTTTTAGCTGTACAATCGCATTTATATACAGCCTCTTTTGTATGAAAAGGGATAGTAACAAAAGTAATGAGTTGTCACTGACATACTTGTTAATATTAAGATCGATGAATAAGAGAAGTTGAATAAGTGTATTAGAGTTGTCTGTCTGTCTGTTTTCGACATAGAACTTTGTACATATGTGCACCACTTCAAGTCGCCACACTCCATGTAGCACACAAAGAAAGAGAAGAAAGTAGAAAAAATGCATAATAGAGACAGTGAACAGAGGTGTGAGACAAGGGAATAATAATATCGAAGAACAATATAGTTTCATTGGAAATCATAGGTCACAAGGAGTGGATGCATTTGTGCCATCATCGAGAACGATGAGTTTGAGCCATGTCACCGATTATTTCCAACCATTGGTTTTTACCATCCCGAGGACCCTAACCAGTCAGGAAGTCTAAACCTTCCTACGTGGCTAGCTGGCTTAAACTAACTGTTGTGGATTTCATTGACTGGTCCCATGCTTTGGTTTGACCGCCGCTAGCTCTTTTCCATCCTGACCCTATGCCAGTCAGCTAACGTTGCCCATTGTCGAGGAAGGCGATGACTAGTGATGCATGCGTAACACATGCCCTAACCATCTCAGTCGATGTAATTTCATATTCTCGTCGTTTGATTACGCTCTTAACCTAGCACTCGACCGATGCCTAAAGTCAATATTCCTCACTCTATTATATCACTTCACACGGGAAATAGAACACAGGCACCTGTGATCAAAGACAGTTAGCCAGCCTTTTCATTTCATCCACTCTCAATGGCCAGGTCTCACAGCCATAGAGGAGGACGGAGCGGATTGCTGAGCAGTGCACATGCCCTTTGGTTGATAACCGAATATCACGTCTACACCAGAGACGATGTAAACTGGATGAAGGTAGTGAGTAGGACTTATCTGTTAGAGAAACAATGAACGTGTATGGCCACATGGGAGCATTTCGAGAAGAAGATCGAAGTCTAATACACCCTAGACTGTACCAGGTCGTTTATGAGGGGGCACAGGGCTTACTAGAAGAGTCAATTATCACTTATGTTGATATTACCACCAAATACAAGTAATACAGGCCGATACTTTTGTCCTTTTTTATACGTGTTTATACATGAGTAAATACATTGATTAACATATCAACACTATCTGACTTATCATTCTCTCCTTCTCTCTGTCTTCATTCACTAGTCTAACTGGACTCCTCTAATGATTGCTGTATCTGCAGGTCGAGAAAATGTCGCCTCCTATTTAATATCCCATGAGAATGCTGATGTCAATGTTGTGAATTCAACTGGTCAGTGTTGTCTGCATTATTGTGCATCGAAAAATCGTTATCAGGTGAGTGATGATAAAAAGAAGGCAAGCTACTGTTGTCTATAGTAATAACAACACATTTTTGTGAGGCTCCGTTAGCTGCTAAGGATAACTAGTTACGTGTTAATTTATTGCTCAACACCTGACTTGTAGCCGCTACCTTGACGTGGTGGTCATCCGGCTTGAATATCGCAATGACCCAACAAGTTACACTGGCTGGAACTATTGTTCCTTCAGGTCCTACCATGCCAGGAAAGTTTTTAGGATAGCGATTAGACTAAAAACAGTTACTGACATTTTGTAATAATTTTCTTTTTTACACTATGCTGGGGGTCTGTGGGCGAAGTCGTACTGCTGGGGAACAGGGAGGCAACAGTAGTAAGGTGTTTCCCTCAGATGACGGGCATGCCAGTTAGCTATGCTGTCTCTCCACTCTGGAGAAAAGGGGGGTTAGAAAAGGTCGACCCTAAAAATTGTACATCCCGACTTACCCTATCTACGGTGGTCCGTAACCGGTGATAAGTTTACTAATACGGAACCAATCCTAGAAACCAGTTCATGCAGGCTATATGTGACAGGCTGGCGTCAAGCAGTTGTCCCCTGGGCTCTACGGTCACGCAACCTTCTCTCTGTTTCAGGTACCCGAAGAACCAATCAACTCCAACGTTGTGGGCAGTCGGGAAGTAACAACCCCCCCCACACACACACACTTCCAAAAGCCCACGAAGCCTTCCTGAGCATCATTCTCCTATTGCTCCACAACAGAAAGCTCAGCGCGATGCCTTTAAAATGAAGACAGGAGTAAAAAACAAGTTGGCTTTCTGCCACCTATTACCCACAATGCCATTCCTAATTGTGATGGACTCGATTATGCGGAAGACTGTGTGTGCGTGGGGAGACAGAAGACAGAAATACGTTGGACCGACAAGAAGACTCTACGGGATCTGGACTTCACGGACGAGTTATGCATGTCTAATATCATACAAACAGGTCGGTAGAAAAAGAAGTAGCAGGCGGCGAAGACACAACTTCGAGTGAACATACAAAAGAAGAGATGGAGGTGACAGAGATAACCAGTCGACAACGATGACAACAAGCACCAATCACTACCAACGGAATAAATTTGAAAGAGATCACTTCCTTCACTTATCTAGGAAGCATCCTTTCAACTACAGGCAATCAGAACGGATCTGGATGTCAAAACCAAATTGTTATATCTTGCTCTGTCTGCGCCTGAACTTATATGTTATATAGTTGCGCTGAACAGAATAAAAACTGCACTGAATTAAGGTAAAACCCCGTCGCCAATTTGTTATAACTGCACTGAATTAAAGTAAATCCCCGTCGCCAATTTGTTATATCTTGCTCTGTCTGCGCCTGAACCTATATGTTATATAGTTGCGCTGAACAGAATAAAAACTGCACTGAATTAAGGTAAATCCCCGTCGCCAATTTGTTATAACTGTGGGGAATTGAATGATAACGTTTTCACCTTATTCTGTCTGCGCCTGAACTAATCTGTCTATCTGCTCGTCGTACCTTCCGACTTAGCAAAGCACGCAAATATCAAAAGACAAAGGCTGGACTGTGACTGTGTATTGAGGTGCAACAACGATAAAGAAAGCCATGGTATTTATACATTTTACAACAATATGGACAGCTAACAGCATTTGAAATAATTGACCTTAATAGCCAATAACAAAGTGTGTGAGAGATGATAATATACCATATGTGCGAGGTTGAAAGTCAGTAACAAAATGTGTGGGAATGATAATATACCATATATACAAGATTAGCAGTCACTACCAAAATGTGTGAGAATGATAATATACCATATATACAAAATTAGCAGTCACTACCAAAATGTGTGAGAATGATAATATACCATATATACAAAATTAAACAGTCAATACCAAAATATGTGGGATCCTATCACAAATTAAGATCGGAAAGTCTATCAGAGGTTTCAGCTGCTATTAAGAATAACCTCAATACAATAATTATTATGTTAGTTAGCTGATGCGCGATATTATCGATTGATTTAATAGTGTAGTTCTTTGTATAAGTGTGGAGGAGTGTGAGTTACTATACTTCATGAAAGCATACCTAAACGGAAATGTATAGGAGAAAGAATAATTACATGAAGAATAATGAGAATTCAACGAATCTAGAGAATCGTAAACAATAAATGAATTTGAACTAGTGTGAATAGTTTTGAGCAATTTAAATGGATTTTTGATTTTTCCGTCGATTGATTGGACTGAATTGCTCGGTCTCAGGTTTGCATGTCTGTTGGCTTTTTGTGCAGATGCTTCGTCGATGTCTGGGCATTTAATTAGAATCTAATTTGTGGATGGTGACTAGCAGTGGAATTCAGGATGCGCATTTCATCCTATTTGGGACTTGTCCTTCAGCTGGATGTTGCTGCATTTCTCAGTGAGTGATGATGTTCCCACCAAGGCTTGAACCCCCAGTGCCCATAGTTTCTAAAACCAGAGCGTTATCTACTAGAATACTTGGGCCATGAGAGCCAGCTCTTGTGCAACGCGTCATATTAATTTAGTTGAATTTTTGATTTCTCCCGTCTGTTGAAGCCGACATGTCAACCTGAGACCGAGTACTTCAATCCAATCAATCGACCTGTCTCTGATGCATTCACTCTTTGTGATTTATCATATCTTGAAGTATTGGTTTTGTAGGGATTTTGTTTGATTGCATGGAGGATTTCATCATGATCAGCTGGCATCAGTTAGAGAATCACTGGAAAACAAGCTGGGAGTACGGGACAGCTGTTTCGTCCTAGTTTGGAATTCTCTACCAGTTCGCACCCACCGAGGTTCGGACCCAGGACCTTCTGGTTGCAAAGCGAGCTCGTAGACCATTGAGCCACTGGGACCCGATCCAATGGCCAGCATATGAATTCTAACTTCTGCACCCATTCATGACATAGCGGCGCGACCACTTCGCAATGTCTTCCGCTTCGATGAGTTACTGCCCCACCTTCAACCTGCTGTACCCTACTAGTCACGGCTTTTCTGAAGGTGCAGTCAGACTAGCCGAGCATAAAAACCTAGCAACAAAATCTAGATTAGTTGATCCGTATAAGATAAGAAATCTAGAGAATAGTTCAGCTATAGTACTACACCACATGCAATTACACGCAACCGTACAATAGGATGCGATGGAATAAGACGACAGTTTTAAAATCTAATGTCATAGGGTGTAGGGAAGGAGGGATTGATAACGGAAGCTTTGTTTATCGAATCGACTGCAAACACATGTAATAGGAATGATTCAACACCTGTCCACGCCGACATCTGGAAAATTCTACTACCCCAACGACGACAAATAAGAGAAGACAAAGAAAACTATAAAACTCAAGTATCGAAGTCGTGTGATTATAATTGGTGAAATGATTATGAACAGTGATGAATTGTGTTCGAAACTTTGTCATCCAGTAAATAATAATACTGTTTCACTCACTAAGTGATTGTCTAATAAATAAACTAATATGGAATTACATACTACTACCACAGTGCCCAAGTTTTACACATGCATATTTATAGGGTAAAATTTTATTCATGAATAATGATATTCAAGCTGACAACAAAAATCTTTCTCATGTGTATATCTCTTTGTAACTAACCTTTTGTATTTCAGTTAGCTAAACAACTACTTGATTGTGGTGCTAAAGCAGATGTACACGATTGGGGTGGGATCACCCCATTGCATCGTGCTATTGCTACAGATCACCTTGAGATAGCAAAACTTCTTCTAGAGTATACAACTATCGAAGACGACAGCAATGTTGGCAATGAAATGGGGGAGAGTGAAGAAAAAGACAACATTGGTCGAATGTATTCACCACTGGTTAACTTGACAGATAAAGAAAAAGCGACACCTTTGTAAGTGTGGCTCTTTTTTCCTCTAATTTTTGCTTACTCATGTCTGTTATTATTATTTTTAAAATGGAAGCGTAGTACATATTATGGGCACAAAGGAATGCTCCACAAAAAAGCTCATATTTTCTACGAAGGTGGGGATACCGTCCTGACTCTCAGACTAAAGCAGGTGGTTGTTTTAAGGGGGTGTCACCCCGAGATCATTTAACTTAAAGTATGATCCATAAGGTGAGGGAGCAGTGTGAGGAACTACGTTCTCATGGTTTTTGGTCATTTTAATATTATTATTATTCACTTGCGTTCCGAGTGGAACATAGGGCTGGCTTCAACAACACATCTCCACTTTGTTCTGTTTTCTGCCGTCCTCTTCAGCTGGCTAGCTCCACGATTAACCAAACTCTGTCACCTCTCCCTCACACGATCTCCTCCATGTCACCTTCGAACTGACGGCCCACTCGTCGCCTCCCATTGGTACTCCACTCGAGCAATGGCCAGGATAGCTCGCGATGTCATTCGGTGACCTCAATGTATGCCTGACCCGTCTCCACTTTCGCGATCGGCTCTTGGTTGGTTTTTATTCTTAGCCAGAGTTTCTCGTTACTTATTCTTTCTGGTCTGTCATTTGATATTCAGTATGGAGCCAGTGAAGTGAGCAGCTGTTGATGAAAGTCTGCAATAGGTTGTTGGAAATCCTTTTCGTGACACGCAGTACAAGTTTCTGACCCGTATAAATGAACCGACTTAACATTGCTGTTAAAAATGCTAATCTTATTCCTTATGCTGAGTCGATGCGGAAGATTTCAGAATTGGTTTCAGATTGATGAAGACGTATCTTGCCTTTCCGATTCTGACTGACTGGCTGGCATCTTTGACATCTTTATCCGTTCCGACTGTCTGTAGTTGAAATGATGCTTCCCAGCCAGATAAGTGAAGGAGGCAACATCTGTTAAATCTCTCTCTCGTTGATGGTGATTGGTGCTTCTTGTTGTTGGTGTTGGTGTTGCTGTTAATTGATTCTCTTCATCACCACCGTGTTCTCTGTGTCTTCACTTGCAGTCCTGTTTTCGCTACCCCAGCGTCTTCAGCTAGTTTGTTGGTTTTTGCCTATCTCCAAAGCCTCAGGATGGTCGGGGGTGGGTGCCTTGCGCTGCGGGTTGGCCACCCCTCCGCACACCTCTTGAAAAGCTCCCATATGACCGGGCGTCTTACATAGCCTCTCCTGAGGAAGTCCTACTCACTGCCTTCACGTGGCGGAGGTGTTTCTCACCAAAGTGAGAGGGCGAAAGCGGATGCCCGGCGCTCTCCACCGGGTTGACTGTCCATTGGATGACAGTCTAGGGGAGATGGCTAATCCCTGATTCCAAACCTCCAACGACTGGCGTATGAAGCTCACTGGAGCTCACCGGCAGATGTATGGACAAAGGGCTTGTTGGATTTCCTGGATGTCTGGCCCCATTCAAAAAGGCGCATGAACCGAACTCCGGTCACCGGTTGCCAATGGATAGTGGACTCCTTACTCCACTCCTACTACCTTGTAGGTCACACTTGGCTGTGTAAAAGCTAGAGCTGTACTGTCAAACAAAAGGCCGAGCGATGCTGGGGATATCACTCGTACATAATTCCCATGAAACTTCATGAACTCTCTTACAAATTGCCGCGCCTGGGCGGCGATGATTCGAGACGTTCATGAAGCCGGCTCATCCTCCCGTAGGAGATAGCCGAAGTAAAGTAAGTAAGTCTAAGTCTTAGAGTGTGTGACATAAGACATATATCATTCTCGCACGAAATCCAGATCTTCTAGAGTAATTCTTATCTATCGTCTAGTGTATTTTTAACTCCTCGCCCCTAACACTCCGACACATAATCTAATCCATCACAATTAAGAATATCATCGGTGATAATAGGTAGCTAGACTTGTCTTACTCCTGTATGCACTTCGAATGCTCCGCTGAACTTTCCGTTGTGGACCACCTGATACGTGGCACTGTCATATAGCCCCAGCTGTTGAATGAGGTTGACAAAGACTTAAGGTACGCTGTAGTGTTGAAGTAGCTTCCAAATTACTTCTCGGTCTACGCTGTCTGTTGAAGGCCTTTTCGAAGTCGATGAAGTTGAAGTATGGAGAGGTTTCACTGCCTTTTTTGTGCTTTGTTCTGTGATGACGATGAGTAGAGATGCAATTTGATCAGCACATGATTTGCCTTTTCTGAATCCAGGGTATCTTTTGTTCTCTTCAGGATGATGCGACTTAGTATTTTTTACTTGGCATGGGTGGACAAGAGCAATATTCCACACCAGTTCTTTTCGGTTATAGAAGTTGGTTTATACACCATTCAATCCTTTCAGACTTTTTTTTCCCTTCACGTTCCCCATTGAAACATAGAGCTCCTTCAAGCTAGTGGCTTGAAGTTTCTGAAGCAGTGTTTATTTTACAGGATGAAGTTGCTAGCCTCATGCCCAACCTTTCCTCTTCACCAGCATTTTTTCTGGCTTAGCGAGGTAAAGGAGTGCGTCGGTCGGGGATCGGCGAGCGTCCTAACCGCTATACCACCGACGCACATTCAGACTTTGGAGCGTATTTATTAACACATCATGGATTTGGAGTCAAGGTTTTCCAGCACCCCTGGGTAGATCAGCATGCCCACCAGTAGTAGTCAGTCTGGTTATAAGTGCCAGATCTATTCATATTCACAGAAAGCAAAAGGATTGAGTAGGGAGAAATATTTGCCTTTCAATTAGATCCTCATCTCAGGCTCTACTCTAATAAACACGTAAAGCATTTTTATTACAATACACAGCAGTTTACCAATCATCAAGTGGCACTGATATGTTTGTTAGCAATAATTAGTCAGTCAGTGTCAAAATGTCAATGGGTTAATAATAATTAATGAAGGAAATCAATACACACAATTAAAAGGTAGAAATGGATAGAGTAAATAATAATAATAATATTAAACGGTTGCTAAGTGAGAATGGTTATCCTGAAAAGTTTATTGATAAGAATATGAATTTGAAACCAAAGCAGCCGAAGTTACCAACAGTTCCAAAAAAGGTCTTATTCTTTCAGATGCAGTTCCTTGGGGACAACACTAGCGAGATACTAACACAGCGTATTAGAAACGCGGTAAAACGAGCATTCCCTGCTGCTGAATTACGTTGTATCTTTAAGACTACTTCTCTTCTGCGTTCGGGAGTAAAAGACAAACTGCCTAATTTCGCCTCATCCATGTGTATCTACCAATTTAATTGCACCTGTGGAGCCAGTTACATAGGCCGCACAATTAGGCGTGTTTCTCGTCGAATTTCCGAACATCACCCTGCGTGGTTAAGCAAAGGCCAAATAAAATCTATCCGTAGCGCTATTTTGGCTCATCTGGTGGATACAGAACATAGGATTGATGTTAATCAAGCCTTCAGAGTTACTTATCGGATACCAACAAATCTCAACTTCGCCTTAAGAGTTCGATTACTAAATATTGCTGAGGCTGTTGGGATCCACATTAAAAAGCCTAATTTGTGCGTCCAAAAGAAGTTAGTTCAGACGCTGTCCCTACCTTGGCCATCTAGGTTTGAATGATTCTCAATTTTCGTGAAAATTTCCTTATGTTAGTTGATATCCTACTCGCTATTATATCTTTATTACTATTATTATAATTTAAGTATTTTTAGTGAACTGTAATTGCATTGATCTTGATTTACAAATCGATATTATTTAAAAAACACACCAATATTGTTATTCCTAGCCAACATGAACAACACCAACAGACCACAATAAGCATAAATGGGAAGAACCTGAAAGAAACAACCTCCTTCACCTACCTGGGAAGCATCGTCTCAACTACAGGCGGAACTGACGAGGACATCAAAGCCAGAATCGGAAAAGCAAGACAAGCTTTCATTACTCTCAAATCTGTGTGGAGATCAACAGCAATCAGCATCAAAAATAAGATCCGGATTTTCAACTCCAATGTGAAGTCAGTGCTACTATACGGATCAGAGACTTGGCGAGTCATAAAGAGCATCTCAAACAAACTTCAAACCTTCATTAACAACTGTCTCCGCTCAATACTCAAGATCAGATGGCCAGAAAAGATCAGCAACAGGGATCTCTGGGAGCGAACCAATCAGGAACCGATTGTGAAACAAATAGGCAGAAAGAAATGGAGATGGATTGGCCATACGCTGAGGAAACCATCAAGTGACATCACTAGACAAGCCCTCGAGTGGAACCCGAAAGGGAGGCGGTGAGTTGGTCGTCAATGCAAGGGTGACTTGGAGGAGGTCATGCGAGGAGGAGATGAAAGCATGTGGACAGACCTGGAGCAGGGTGAAAAAGTTGTCAGAAAACCGAAGTCAATGGAGGTGCGCAGCTGAAGCCCTATGTTCCTCTAGGAACTAAAGGATACAATAATAATATAATAATAATTATTATTATTCACTACTAATCTAGAATATTCTGTGTATATAAACATATACGTATATAATTGTAGAGCCAGAAGAGGAGGAATTTATCAAAAAAGATATTCTTTGATCAATTATGTTGTGTTTTATAGATATCTAAATGAATATTTTTGCTAAATTAATTTTACAAGGATAACACGTAAATTAAAGATGAAGTAGTCAGAAAAAATAACAAAATAATTTGGACAATTATAATTTTAATAATTTTTAAACAGTTTAGGGGCAGGGGGATGAAGTAGTCCGGTTAATACACTCATGTAACGATGGCCAAGGCAAGGAAAGTGGCTGTACAAATTTCTTCTTTGACTTTTTCAGGTGAATTCCTATTGTTTCAGCTGTAGGTATGTAGAAGACGAACTCGTCGAGCTCGTAGGAATGTGATAGACAATTTTAGATGTGGTATTAACGTCGACCTTATTTATGCACACTATCTACAAGGTGTGTTAAACTAGAATTAGGAATAGATCCTGTTAAATTGTTGTGTATTGTAATAAAATTGTTATATATATATAATCAAAACAAGTGATTCTGCGAAGAGACTCTTTTCAACGAATTTATTATCAAATGGATCACCCTATCTCTATAGCCTCCGCCTTTAAAGTCATTTACAAGACAAAAAGTAATTTACCCAAATTCCCACGTACCCGACTCATCTATGTTGCTGAAGCCATCTTTGGCCATCAAAACAGATATATATATATATATATATATATATATATATATATACTTCTGTTTGGAATGCATTCTACTAATCCTTTTTTTCAGACATGGTAGAATTTCGATTTTGAAAAAAAAGTATGCAAAAAAATCACAACGATGTACAACTTTTACAGATTTTCTGCCATGGCGGTAATCGCCTCTGAATGCACAGTCATCAGCAACCTGATAATACTTCTAAAGGTTCATTATCCCTTCATCTATTTTAGCCTTGCCTATCATCGGCCTATTTTCCACACATTTGAAGTCAAAAAAAAAACCAAAATTGAGTGAAACTTACAGCGTTCTGATTGGTTGGTTCAAGGTCATTTAACCGTGGTATCGATTCTTTTTTAATTTTTTACCGTTTCCATATTTATGGAATAATAACTTGTTTTACGGGTTGATCACGGGTTGATATCAGTTAGAGAACCATTGAAAACCAGGGAGTACTGGACAGCTGCCGTTTCATCCTAGTTTGGGAATCATCGGTAGTACGCACCCACTGGGTTTCGAACCCCAGGACCTTCCGGTTACAAGGCAAGCTCGTATACCATTCAGCCACTGGGACCCAATTCAATGGCTCGTGAAGTCGTGACCAGTGAGGTCCAATTAGATGTCACGTGTGTAGATGGATGTCCCACCAACGACAATGGTTGGGGTCGCGCTAAATCACGAATTAGTAGAAGTTAGAGTTCACGAGCCATTGAATCGGGTCCCAGTGGCTGAATGGTATACGAGCTTGCCTTGTAACCGGAAGGTCCTGGGTTCGAAACCCAGTGGGTGCGTACTGCCGATGATTCCCAAACTAGGATGAAACAGCAGCTGTCCAGTACTCCCTGGTTTTCAATGGTTCTCTAACTGATGAAATCAATCTGTGATCAACTCGTAAAACATAACTAATCCTTACAAATCAAACTATAGAAAGTTAATCTGATGCTCGCTAGTGACTTGCTACAGGTTGGAGTTTCCTGAGTTCTAGTGAGAAGTCGTGACCAGTGAGGTCCAATTAGATGTCACGTGTGTGGATGGATGTCCCACCAACGACAATGGTTGGGGTCGCGCTAAATCACGAATTAGTAGAAGTTAGAGTTCACGAGCCATTGAATCGGGTCCCAGTGGCTGAATGGTATACGAGCTTGCCTTGTAACCGGAAGGTCCTGGGTTCGAAACCCAGTGGGTGCGTACTGCCAATGATTCCCAAACTAGGATGAAACAGCAGCTGTCCAGTACTCCCTGGTTTTCAATGGTTCTCTAACTGATATCGATCCGTGGTCAACCCGTAAAACGTAACTAATCCTTACAAAAACCAAACTATAGAAAGATAATAACTTGTGTTTTCTCACTTTCTCTCTCTCCCTCTTATTCATCTTCTTTTGCTGAAGACATTATGCGTGTGAAGAAGGCAGTATACCAGCTGTTAGCCTATTGGTGAATTATGGCGCCTCGTTTACATGTAAAAATAAAGTAAGTCGGTGTACATTTTTCTCATGGCTAATTCGTTTTAAAAGAAAGTTAGACTGATAATGATGCGATTCTATTTTAAACGATATTTTTTAATTATTATTTCTATTATCCCATTGGGTTCCGAGTGGAACATACGGGTTCAGACGCATATCTTCATTTAACTTTGTTCATTGTAGTTCTTTTAATCTGGCCCTACGATTCCGCCTAAGTTGCAGTCGCCTCCATGTTACCCTTGAATTGTTGCCCAACTTGAGGGCCTGGCTGGCGCGCAGTGCTACTCAGTGGTGTCCTCGGCGTGTGTTTCTCCCATCTCCATTTCCTTCGACATATGTGTTGAGAAGTAGGTGGTTCTTGATTTGATCGTCTCTGATTCTTTCTGGTCATTATTTTCTAATCTTCAGTAGTATGCAGCGAAGACAGATATTGATGGAATTCTTGAGTTAATCTATTGAAAGAAAATGCTATTTATGCCTTACGCGAATCCCATTTTGAATATAATTACATGAGGTTCTATAGTGGTGAGAGCTATCTGTTAGCCAAAATTGGTAGATAGCAATTTATGTCAATGCTTACGTCCCAAACCAATCTGGAAATCTTCTTCACTCAGCCAGCATCAACAACAAAATTCGGTCGGATTTTCTATAGAAACAACGTCAAGTCAGTCAGTTCTTCTATACGGATCAGAAACTTGGCGGGTAGGTCAAAAAGAATATTTCCAACAGCCTGTTGCGGACCTTCATCAACCAACAACTGTCTTCGCTGGTTCTATACTGAAGATCAGATGGCCGGGCCGGAAACAATCACCAGCAAGAAACTATGGGAACAAACAAACAAAACAAGAACCAGTCGCCGCCCAACAAATATGCAGGAGAAAGTGGAGATGGATTGGACACTCACTCGCTGAAGAGGCCGGGCCGCTGGGTGACATCACGCGGGCGTCAGGCCATTGCTCGAGTGGAACCAGGCTGAAAGGGAAGCGGCGAGTGAGACGTCAGTGCAAGGGTGACATGGAAGAGATCGTGTGCAGAGGAGGAGTTGAAACAGTTTGGACTGACTAACATGGATGCAGGTGAAACGTACAGCAGAAGACAGAAGTGGCAAGTGGAGACGTGCAGTTGAAGCCCTATATTCCACTAGGAACCCAAGGGAACAATAATAACAATAACGTCCCAAATTTCATGCATTTATTCCCCTTGATGAATTTGACTATAGCATGAATAACAGTGGTTTGTGCAGAATAATATGGTACCATCAGTGCCGATTTCGTTGGCTTCTCATCAGCTCAACTGCTGCTCACAGCCTAAATAAATTATGAGGTTTAAGTACAGAAACGTTTTAACATACTTGGAAATTTTACATTTTGTCAGTTGACAGCAAGTTTCACAATTAGTGAACAGTGCTCAGAAAATTGCACCTGTATACTTTTTACACAGGCGGTTCAAGTTTAAACAAAAATAAATGTATGCATACAACGAATGATAAAGGAGTTACGTAATTGAAAAACGAGAGATGCGTATGATGATGAGTGACTAATAAATTAGTTAACAACGTACTGGGTTTAACTTAAATCATAGAAACAAGAGACAAGCGAAATTACAGATTTTAAAAAAGAGGGGTGAGGTTAAAGACAACGATTACGTAATCAGATGAGAGAATAAAAACATCCCAGTTACCAGGGCAGGGCTGTAAGCAGCGAAATAAATGATGGTACCATATTATTCTGCACAAACCGCCACTGTTGTTCTTGCTTTATTCAACGTCCCAAATCTTGGTCATGAGAAAAAAAGTAAGAACAATGACTAACTCAACAACCAATCACAGCAGACTTGGCGTGGGTGGATACGATTAGCAGATATATATATATATGGCAACGGACTGTCTAAGAAACGGCAACAAAGAGATGACAGAATAACCTTCAGTAGGAAAACAAACAATCGGAAGACGTTACCTCTCTGATAACAATAACGGTAATGCGTCGGTGGCACAGTGGTTAGGACTCTCGCCGACCATGCACATGGTCCGGGGTTCGAGCCCACGCCGACGCACACCTGATATCTATGGTCGGCCTGCGAATTTTGGGCTACCGATATCCACGCTGAAAATTCCACACTTGTACCAAAAAAAATACAGTGTGGAATCAAGCTGTAATCAAAAATAAAAAGAAATAAAAAAAAAATAAAATAAAAAATAAATAAAAATATAATGTACATAGAAATCTATAAATATCTGTTGATTTTCTGAATGATCTGTTTGTTGCCTTGCTCTCGTCTTCTATCGTTACAACTATACTCAATTCGTTGCAATTTTCTATCTCCTACTGTGTAGTAAAATTGAAAAGTCGAAAATGGTCTTGTTATGTTTTTTACACAGACTTTTGGGTGTGCACCCGTGTGCGCGTAGGGATTATCGCCTGCTGCACTAGTGTATCGATGATTTTTTAATCTCTGTAGGTATCCGTTTTTAAATCATGGAAGATACTTGTCATCAGCACATTGACTGACTGACTGACTGGTGGTTTCAACATAGAATTTTGCACAGATTTACAGGAGTTCGAGTTCCCAATCTCCCTCCATGTAAAGAGAGATAGTAAACACAATTGTGAGGGAAAAGAATAGTAATAAGGAAGAACAAGAGAGTACTTCGATTCGATAGGACAAATGACCAAGAGTGAATGCATCTGCGTCAACTGTTGAAAACGATTTTGAACCATATCACCAATTGTCTCCAGCTTTCCTTGGTTCTCATCATTCTGAGAACCCCAAACAGACAGGAAGTGTCTACATATCGCTAAGTCGGTGGCTGGTTGCCTTAAACTAACTGTTATGAATTTCATTGACTGCTGAAGCCACGTTTTGGTTTGACCATCACTAGTTCTTTTCCAACCTGATCCATCCTATGTCAGTCAGCTAACATTGCCCGTACGTCTAGGAATATACGATGGCTAGGAATGCATGTGTAACATATGTCCTGCTGACCAATTCAATCGAAGTAACTTCACAACCTCTTCGATTGATTTCTCCTCCTTACATCACTAACACTCGATGCCTAACCTCAATATTACTAACCTAACACGGGAGATAGTACACAGACACCTATGATCAAAGGCAGCTGGCCAGGCTCTTTGTATCGTCCATTTTCAATGTCCATGCCTTGCTCACAGCGATATAGGAAGACGGATCAAACTGCTGAGCAACTGGGTATCGCGCCTACTAAGCCACAGATGGCTTCAGTTGGTATATACCGAACGAGCCTTTTGTATCCGTGCTGAGATTTCGTCAGCGATCAACCCACTGGCACTGGCTGATGCAACTTTCCACCCAATTAAGTGAAATGGTCAACACGCCGCACCACTTCTTTCTCCTTTAAACTAAGAGTCGTTGTTTTCTAGTCCAGTCCTGTATCATCACCTTATTTTCGACTGGTGAATATCGCATGCCAAACATTTTAAGACTGCTCCTCAAGTTGTTCAGAAGACTCTGTTGGATTTTGTCAGCGTCTTCACCCAAAAGGCAAGACTAGTAAAAAGTCGATCCATGAGTCACTGAAGTCAGTTAGGGTTAAATCGATTAGTACATCTATGATGAAATTAAACAGAAATGGCGGTAGTGGGCATCCCTAAAGGGGATATCACTGGATTTTGTCAGCTCAACGGAGTATACGAAAAAGTTGATGGATATCATCGTCCCATCTCACACGGACATGTATTCCTTAACATAGATTATATTTCAAAGTATCTTTTATGCCATTCTTTTGCCTGTTTCTACTTTTGATTCCCTATCCCCTCCTTTTTTCTCTCCTCTCCGATAGGATGATAAAACACCGATCGATGTTGCACCGGACCATCTACGCTTGAATATTTTAAAACAATTTAAAGTTAAACCCTGTACACAATAACAAAAGAAAAAAGAATTTCAAACCAGTTGTTACTTGTGACCCATTTCCCTTTTGCCTTGTTTATGAATTTTTGTACATGTGTGTTGCATTTTATTATACAGAGAGAAAGTTGAACAATTCCCACTGCTCTGAACTGTTTAAAGTATACTTTTTATGTATATATGATATTGAATGAATTCTCAGCTTATTGATAACACATACATGTGCGTCGGTGGTTCACCGACAAAATGTGCTAGCCAACCATGCATGAGGTTCGACTCCTGACCGGCGTACAACTTTACCTCCCGTAGCCAGTTGTAAGTCCGCCATAAAGACGGAAGGTTGGATGTAAAACTAGCAATCTCCGCACTGCACCTCATCCCACCCCCACTGTAAAAAGACATGATTACCATTGAAACTTCCATCTGGAAAGGCATAGGAATGACATGACACGACTGTATCTTTGCCTGTCAAATGTCCAAGTGACTGCTCCAAACTAAATGACTTTTTCAAGTAATGGTTATGTAGGAATTTTGTTTGATTGCATGGAAAAAAATAAACACCACTGCTGCCGAAACTTCAAGCCTCTAGCTTGAAGGTGCCCTATGTTCCACTTGGAACGTAAAAGGAATATAAGAAATTCGCATCAACCAGCAGCACTGCATACCCCTCCTTCGTCTTCAATGTGAAACAAAGAAGTATCGAAAAAAATATTATAATTTTTAGCTTAAGGTGACACCAGTACTCAACTCAGGCTTTTAATTGATTGCATGTGTAGGTTTCTTTTTGAGAAAAAACACCACCACTGACCCTAGATTAGAAATAGGGAGTGAAGTGGTTGGTAGAGCACGTTGACCGCTTCACTTATTTGCGAAGTGCCAACGGGTTGATCTCTGACGAAATCTCAGCACGGATACAGGAGGTTAGTTTCGAATATGCCAGTTTACGCCGTCTCTGGTGTAGACATGATATCCGAATATCGACAAAAGGGCGGGTGTACTGCTCATCAGTCCGCTCCGTCCTCCTTTATGGCTGTGAGACCTGGCCATTGAGAATAGAAGACATGAAAAGATTAGCTGTCTTTGATCATAGGTGTCTGCGTTCTATCTCCTGTGTGAAGTGGTGGTATAATAGGGTGAGCAATATTGAGGTTAGGCATCGGTCGAGTACTAGATAACGAGGGGAAATCAATCGATGAGGCTGTGAAATTACATCGACTGAGATGGTTAGGACATGTGTTACGTATGCCTAGTCATCGCCTTCCTCGGCAGACGGGCAATGTTAGCTGACATAGGGTCAGACTGAAAAAGAGTTAGCTAGTGGGGGTCAAACTAAAACATGGTTTCATCAGTCAATGATACCTATAACAGTTAGTTTAAGATAGCCACGTAGGAAGGTGTAGACTTCCTGACTGGTTGGGGTCCTTGGGGTGGTAAACAATAGGTGATATGGCACAAAATCGTTCTTAATGGCTGATGCAGATGCATCTACTCCTTGTGACTTATGATTTCCAATGAAACTGCTTTGTTCTTCGTTATTACTGTTCCTTTGTGTCACTCCTCTGTTTACTCTCCCTATTAGGTATTTCTTCTACCTTCTCTTGCTTTGTGTGCTACATGGCGTGTGGTGACTTGAACTGCCGCACATATGTGTGCAAAGTTCTATGTTGAAAACAGACAGACAGAGACAAAACCTAACAAATCGTGTTGTGAATACTTAAATCACTGTGCGATTTACTGTTCCATAGGACAACTGATAGTTGACCTACTACCGACTAACGGAGTTCCAACATAGAACTTAAGAGAGATGTCTATGTGTGCAGGAGCAGTTCAAGTTGCCACACTCCATTTCTAGACGCGGAATTAACAAGAAGAGATGATGGAATTCTGAAGAGGTCCATCCACAGAAAACCGACATGCAGCGGTCGACTAACGCATTTCTATAGTTGGATATCTTTGAGCCGAAAACGAGCTCTCATCACTGCATTAGAAAAATCTGCAGCAGCGATTGCGCGGAAGAGGAGCTCCTATTCCTCAAAAATATCCTGGCTCAAAATAGTTACCCGACACGTTTTGTCGAAAAGAACATGAAACCTAAACCAAAAAAGAGAAGAATGCGATTTAGCACCAAAGAAAACGCTGTATCTGGATTTCAGGGGAGATATGGCAGCTGATATCCTAAAGAGGAGAAGACTTTCCTTGCAGCAACACTAAGAGTGACATTCTCTAGCCGTCCAATACTTCGAAACAACGCGAAGGACAAACTCTCGCATATGACCAATTCAATGTGCATATACCAGTTCACTTGCTCGTGCGGAGCTAAGTATATAAGTCGTTGTGTACGCGTCCTTTCAAAACGTGTTAGAGAACATTACCCAGCATGGCTGCAAAGAGGAGGCACCGGTTCAATCAGAAGTGCCATTATTGAACATCTGGTCAACACCTCCCACAACATCTCAACTGATTCATTCAAAGTGATTTACAAAGTCAACAGAAACCTACCAAAGGCAGTATGTTTCCGACTTCTCTGTACTGCAGAAACCCTCACAATACACATCGAAAAGCCGGAGCTGTGTGTTCGAAAGAAATTAGTTCAACCTCTACGACTACCATGGACCTAGTTCTGTATGTTCCCTTAGCCTCCATTTCTCTTGATCTTTTTTTTCGTTCGCTGTGTGTGATTCTTACTCCCTCTGTCTTCATTCGATTCACCCCATTTTTTCAGTTATAAAAACATTTATTTAAAGTTTGTTTCCATGCTTTTCCTGTTCACATTTATAATTCGTTTGAAATAACTTTTTTACAATTATATCTTAATCCTGTGCAATGTTTGTGTTTCTAAGGCTCTTGTAATTTATATTCACAACTCCTAACTTCCATTGCAAGTTAAAATTATAATTTCAATTTTTGTTTCCATGCTCATTTTCTACACACCTTTAATTCGTTCTAATCCTGTTTAATTTTGTTTCTAAGCCTCTCGTAAAAACCATGTCTAATTGAAAATAATTATCACCTTTTATTCGCCATCGTAGTTATGTGGAGTCAAACAAGAATTGTATCCATGTAAAATTATGTATTTAAATGCGATTGTACAGCTTTTGAAAATGAAATCACCGAAAAGATCGGTATCTTTGCTGAACTTCGTGTTCTCTTCTTTCTAAACTTCATGTACACCACACAGAGGTAGAGAAAGAAGTGATTTGAAAACAATTAATCCCTTCTATAAATTCGGATAGTGTTATTGAAAGGCCCAGATTATCTGAGAAATGTGATATATGTATTTGTCCTATACATTTTGAACAATTTGATCGAAAAGGATTTAAGAAATAATTAACACCCTTCTTGTAGCCTAAGTCCAGATGGTTTTGTCAAGCCTTATTCTTAAAAAAATGCGCAGATATCCTGTGTTATCCTCTCATGGACATATTTAATGAATCTCTTTTTCCAGAAATGTCGTGCCAGCTGTTTGGAAGGACATTAAAATTGTACCTATACCTAAGTCGTCTACTGGAACATGTTTTAAATTTGGACCTATTGCTATTACCTCTCCTTTTCTGAAAGCTATGGAAAATTTACTCTTACTTAATCTTCAATCTTCACTTAAAGCCTTTAACGATCCCAAACAATTCGCCTATAAACACAGGAGAAGTACTCTAGATGCAGTTGCAGTCTCCAACTTAGACAAGGGGGCTAAATTTGTTCGCTGCACCTTCCTAGATTACACATCTGCTTTCGACTTAGTAGTACCTTGGGACATTTTGTTAAACAAGCTTGCTGAAACTCAAAATGACTGTCGGGTCGTCAAATGGCTGCATTCTTATTTCTCAGGAAGAAAGCAGTACACTGTATGTCAGGGAAAGTCATCCACTTCTTTGCTTACTGAGGCTGATGTCCCTCAAGGCGCTGTCCTTTCTCCCTTTCTGTTTCCTTTCCTCTTGCATGACTTGCCTCACTCTGATGAAATGAACTTTGTTAAGTATGCCATTGATCTAACTATTTCAATGTCTGTTAACTCCCAGCTTGACTGTGCTAAGATGAACAGCTTTCTATCAGGAACTAGCAACTGGTCGTGTAACAGCCTTAAACTAAATCCTTCCATATGTCAGACTGTTAATTTCAGTTTCCGATGTAAACGAAAGTTAAATGAAGCTGTTGGTTCCTATGACCCTTGCAAAATTGATGATATTGATACAGAAATCAAGGTTGAATTTCACTATCTTGGACTAATTCTTTCTACTGACCTATCCTGGTCTTCCATGTCTTAGCGATTTCTAAAAGAATATTTCGCCCGACCTTTTACGCTAAGAAGTTAAGGCATTCAGGCATAATCCAACCACTCCTCTTACAATTTGTCACCTCTTGCAATCTTACCTATTCTTCTTTACTGTTCACCCCTGCTTATTATTTCCTGGATTGCTTAAAACAGACTATGTCATACTTCGTAGAACTCTGAAGACTGTCAGCCAGTAGGACGAGTGGTATCTCCTTGGACCATATCGTTGACATTGTCACTGATGTCATGCAACAAATTTACTAAAGGAATTTTGTCAGACTGTGAGCATCCACCACAGCACCCGCAGCTCCAACCGTGTGTCTCCTCAGGTGAAACAAGAAGTCTTTTCAGAAGACTTTATACACGTATGTCTAAGTCTGAAGATTCCACTATACCATATTTGGCACGTACTTTATGTGATGAAAACTAACTAACCTTCTTTGCACTACTGAATAAACCATTTTCTCCAACCTTACACCATCAAACTTTATTGTTATTGTATTTCTTATATTTATAATCCTCTCAGTCTTTTTTGTTTTTATTTATTTATTTTTTCATAAGTGTGAACATCATTTAAGCTGTGTTAGAACTGTTAATCTTGTATTTCCCTTCACCATGCTGCTATATCAACAGAACATTAGATTCAATACTGTATAGTAACATGCTAAAATTTTCAAAGTGAATCGACAATACTGTTTGAGACAAGCTCACTGTTATTATTATTATATTTATTATTCTCATTTTGTACA